TGAGAGGTACGGCCAAGGCGGCTGCTGGGAAGAGCGAGGGGTGGGGAGAGGGGGAAGGGGGAGCCAGAGACCTGGAAGGATTCGGGAGGAAGGCCCGGCAGCACCACCATTCGGCGGCACGATCTCTTGGTACAGCCCGCCGGGTCGCGCCTCGCCGGGGCGCCGCCGGACGACCCGAAGACCTGGCAGCTGTGCAGGGCCGCGCTGTGCTTCGCGTACACCCCGCAGTTCGTGCACTGTCATGCTGGCAAATTCCTGTCCGACTCGAACGAGGAGGCGGCAGGGCCCAGTCGGCCAGCAGGCTTGCTTTATGTCGGGCGCGTCCCCCTACAAGGGGATTTTCGACGAAAAATAGAAAATACCCAAAACATACTCCAAAAAGGTAAACAAATATTCAACAATACGCCAAACATATTTTTAAAACATAGTCCATAACTATTTTTGGATTTTTTGTTGATTATTTTTGGGGTATCTGGTATTTTTCGTCGAACATCCCCCTGTGGGGGGACAGGCCCGATTTCAGGCTTCCTCTCCACCGAGACCCGGGCTTTGGCGTCGTCTGCGCTTGCTTCACACGGGGCGCCTTCGCCTGCCTGCGGGCCCCGGGCCGTCACAGGTCGGTCCGGCTGGCAGGAGGCCTCGGGAAGGGGGGGGTCTGGGGCTCCAGCTGTGGAGGGCGATCCAGGGAGAGGAAGCATGTTGTCAAATCATTTCCAGATGTCTAAAACATGTGTTACACATTTTTACCTAACAGCGAAGACTGATAGGTTTCTAGTGGGGTCAAAAGAGAGCATCTTGACGCCCCAGGGGGGTCCGGGCAGGATCCGGGGAGAAGCCGCGGAAGTCGATTTAAGCAAACAGTTATACATTTCGTGGTCTTCGAGGTCCCAGAACTCCATTCCCGGGCCACATTCTGAATGCCCGGAACCAATTGTAGGCCACTTCGTGGTCTTCGAGTTCCCAGAACTCCACTCCCGGGCCACATTTTGAATGCCCGGAGGCAACTGTAGGCCACTTCGTGGTCTTCTAGTTCCCAGAACTCCATTCCCGGGCCACATTTTGAATGCCCGGAGGCAACTGTAGGCCACTTCGTGGTCTTCGAGTTCCCAGAACTGCATTCCCGGGCCACACTTTGAATGCCCGGGGAGGCAACTGTAGGCCATTTCGTGCTCTTCGAGTTCCCAGAAGTCCACTCCTGGGCATGATTTTGAATGCCTGGAGGCAACTGTAGGCCACTTCGTGGTCTTCGAGTTCCCAGAAGTCCATTCCTGGGCATGATTTTGAATGCCCGGAGGCAACTGTAGGCCACTTCGTGGTCTTCGAGTTCCCAGAACTTCATTCCTGGGCATGATTTTGAATGCCCGGAGCCAACTGCAGGCCACTTCGTGTTCTTCGAGTTCCCAGAACTCCATTCCCGGGCCACATTTTGAACGCTGAGGCAGGCTGAGGCTGAGGCAGGAGAGGCAGGCTGAGGCTGAGGCAGGCTGAGGCAGACTGAGGCTGAGGCTGAGCAGGCTGAGGCTGAGGCTGAGGCTGAGGCTGAGGCTGATGCTGAGGCTGAGGAGGCTGAAGGCTGAGGCTGAGGCTGAGGCTGAGGCTGAAGGCAGACTGAGGCTGAGGCTGAAGCAGGCTGAGGCTGAGGCTGAGGCAGGCTGAGGCTGAGGCAGGCTGAGGCTGAGGCTGAGGCTGAGGCTGCAGGCTGAGGCTGAGGCTGAGGCTGAGGCTGAGGCTGAAGGCAGGCTGAGGCTGAGGCTGAGGCTGAGGCTGAGGCTGAGGCTGAGGCAGGCTGAGGCTGAGGCTGAGGCAGGCTGATGCTGAGAGGCTGAGGCTGAGGCTGAGGCTGAGGCTGAGGCTGAGGCTGAGGCTGAGGCTGAGGCTGAGGCTGAGGCTGAGGCTGGCTGAGGCTGAGGAGGCTGAGGCAGGCTGAGGCTGAGGCAGGCTGAGCTGAGGCAGGCTGAGGCTGAGGCTGAGGCTGATGCAGGCTGAGGCTGAGGCAGGCTGAGGCTGAGGCCGAGGCTGAAGGCAGACTGAGGCTGAGGCTGAAGCAGGCTGAGGCTGAGGCTGAGGCAGGCTGAGGCTGAGGCTGAGGCTGAGGCAGGCTGAGGCTGAGGCTGAGGCTGATGCAGGCTGAGGCTGAGGCTGAGGCAGGCTGAGGCTGAGGCAGGCTGAGGCTGAGGCTGAGGCTGAGGCTGAGGCTGAGGCTGAGGCAGGCTGAGGCTGAGGCTGAGGCTGAGCTGCTGACTGCCTGTGACTGCGTTGCCACTGCGACTGTCATCGCGAATGCGACTGCGACTGCGAGAACAGCAGAATTCTACAACTGGATTCTCATCTGAATCTTAAGGGGAATGCTTCCAGATATGCCCCTGCACATCGCTGTTGGGCTGCTCTGCCGGGAGAACTTTGACATGTCAAGAACGTGCACAACACATGTGTAGAACAGTTGTTCCTACATGCTAAACACATTCCAACTCCAAGAAGAGGACTGTTGGGGTGCCCATTGTCGTGGCATCCGCAAGGCTCCCTGGCCTCGCTTCGGTGCCGCCTCGTCGGACCTCCGGGCTTCTCGCTCGGAGCTCTGGCCCGCGGAGGCCCCGCGCCGGGCCCGGCGGCGCGCGGGACCCCGCGCTCGGGAGCTCCGGGACGGGCGGGGTCCAAGGCGGGCTCTCGGCCGCAGGCCGGCGCGTGCGGGAGCCTGGCGGCCCGCGCAGGGGCCTATGGGATGGCAGGGCAGGGGCAGGCGTGGCGAAGAGGTCCTCCTCCCTCTCGCTTGCTCTCCTCTGTCTTTCCAGGGAGGAGAGAGAGAGAGAGAGAGAGAGAAACAACAACGAGAGAGAGAGAGAGAGAAGAAGAAAGAGAGAGATAAAGAAAGAGAGAAAGAGAGAGAGAGAGGATCGCAACACAATGGGCCGCGTGTCGGCCCCGGCCCCCTGCCTGCGAGCGCCCGGCAGGCAGGGCCTCGCATGAGCGGGAGGCGCGGTCACAGTGACCCCGTCTAGAAAAAAGAGCGAACGGCCGTTCGGCTCGGCCGCGTCCATTTTTGCGCGGTAGGCTTGCTCGATGCTGTCCCCGAGAGCGGGCTGCTCGTCGCTGTCAATAGCCGGGCCGGCGACTGGGTCATCCATGAGAGCCTTGAGCATCCTCGCTGGTTGTCTGGCGACGCCCATGTCGAGGGGGACTATCAGACCACGGTGCTCTTTGGTCGGGCGAGCACGGAGCAGGACAATGTTGGTGACCAGCTGTCTACATGTTGCCGGCGAGTACATCGTCGATTTGGGTCCTCCCTGCGCGGGACTTTTCGCTTGGAAAATCCCGCGGCCACGCTGCTCTCCCCCCCCCTCTCTGCTTGGCGATCTGAGTGAGGACGGCCGAATCCTTGATATCACTTTGGGCTCCCATGCAAATGAAGTAGGGCACGTCTCCCACCCTGTTGGCGGCTTCCCAAACCTGGTGAAAGAGGGCTGCACTGTCCGCCCCTGGTTTGGCGCCGACAGGCGCCGCACACGTGTGCCTTTCCATAGACGTTCTCGGCCACGTCCACCCTGGGCCCGACGCCTGGCGTAGTGGGCGCCTGTCCATCGCCCGGTCGCGAGAGAGCCGGGCCCGCGGGATGGTCTCCTCGCTTCTGCTGGCCGCCGACGAGGGGGCCTTTGCGCGGCGACTCCTGCCCCGCCGTGCTCAGCTGCGGTGGGTCGGGCCCCGCCCCTGGGCGGGGCGCCAAAGCTCCGCTTTGTGGCGACCGCGCGCGCTTGCAGAAGGCGCGCATGCGGTCGGCAGGGTGTCGGGTCTCCTGGGGGGTCCATATTGCTCGCGGGATGTAGTCAAGACGTTCCTTCGCATCGAGGCCAGGTGGCATTATTAGTGCTAGCAGGGTGGGCCACCTGCGGGCCGTCTCCATCCGCGGAGCTAGGGCCTCCTCTGGTGGATCGGTGCGTCGTCGCGTCTTGGCGCAGTCCAGCGCGGCTTCCAAGGCGCTCCACCGCGACCGCTCGCGCCCTGGGGTGCCCGAAATTGCGCCGGGGGGGATGAAAAATCACGACGTTTTTCTTCCGAATTTTCGGCCTTTGGGGGCCCTTGCCGGCCCTCGGGGCCGCCAACAAAACGACCCAGGGCGAAAAACCGGCCCCGGGGAATGGGTCGAGACCTCGGGGGGTCGACGTCGTGGAAAAATCATGACGTCGGGGCTCTGGGGAGGTGGCCCGCCATGCCCGCGGCCCCGGTGGGCCTGGGGCCCGGCGGGGGCCCGCAGCTCCGAGGCCCGAGATCCCGGCGGCCCTCCGGCCAGGCATTCCTCCGGCACCTTCGGGGGGGGGGGCTTCCGCGCCCGACCGTCGGCGGTGCGGGCGCGGCCCTCGCCGGCGGCCCCGCCGGTGGCCTCGGCACGCTTGGGCCGGAGCAGAGTGCCCGGCTGGCGGCGACGGCGCTGCGGTCAGAGGAGGGCAGGGTGAGACAAGGGTGACGTTTTTGCTGTTTTCGCTTCCGAGGGGCCTCCTCGTCGCCACGGCTGGACGCAGCGTGAAAAATCTGTGCGTTTGGGCCCAGGGAGGGGTCCGGGGACCGATTTTGAGCCGATTTGGCCACGGCCGTTGTCTCACGTTGCCTTCCTCCGATGCGGGGCGGGCCGTTGCCTCCTTGGGCGGCGAGGTGTCCGCTCTTCGCCCGGGCGGCGAAGCTTGATGCGGTGCCGTCGTCGGATGCCATGGTTGGCCCACGCAGCTCGCCGTGGCCATCGGGCCCCATCGTGTTGCGCCCGAGTTGCGGCAGGTCGCGGATTGTCTTCGCTTGGTCTGGCGCCAGGCGATGCCTCGCAGGCTGCGCCGGAGATGACTCGGACTGGCATGGTCCCGGGTGCAACCTTGCGAGGGGCGCCTGCTTGGGCCATCCTTGGCGCCGTGCCGCCGCTGGACGTCGCGGCTGCGGTTGCCCGCGGTCGCTGACCGTTTGCTGGATGCGTCCGCGGCGGGGGTTGCTGCTTGCCTTGGGCAGCCCCCTGTCGGTCAAGCTTTCGTGTGTTGTCCTTGGCTTTCTTGGCAGAAGTGAGATAAGGTGGCAAGATCGTGTGTCGCTGCTTCCCATGGTAGAACTGACCTCCCCCGTTCTGTGATCCGAGTCCGAGGGGTGGTCTAAGTTCGCCCCCCGTCTACGATCGCGTCGCGCGTGGCCTGCGACGGCGGCCTCGACGGCCGCCGGTCGGCAGCGCGGCGCTGAGGCGCACGGTCTCGGGGCTGCTCTGGCGCCGGGGGCGGGCTCCTAGACCTGGAGCTGGCGCTGCGCCTGGC